TTTTTTATTAAGTTTTAAAAATGAGCCGAATCATAAGAACCGAGCCGAGGCTCAGGCCGAGCCCCATTTTGGGGCATCGGCTCGAGCCCGGGCGAGCCTGCCCATTAAAAAAAATTAATTACATTTTTTGTAAAGTAGCTGCCTACAAAGGCAGCATGCAGTAAAATTAGATGATTGCTACCTGCAAATAGCTGCTTTAGCTGCCCGCTGCATCCTTTAAAAATAAAAAATAATTAAAAAAAAAAACCAAAAAACTCGAGCCGGTTCGGACTGAGCCTCATTTTTTTGGCCTAGCTTTGCTCAGCTCGGACCCAAAAAAGCTTGAGCCAAACCCAAGCTTTTTTTTTTTCGGCTCGACTCGTTGACATAGCTATTTGTGAACGACTCGACTCAATCTATGAGGCCCACGAGCCAAATGGTCGAACCAAGCACCATTTGTAGACACGAGCCGAGCTCGACTTATCCGTGGGGCTGAATCGAGCTTGTGTCCTTTGCCACCTCTAAATCAAACTTTATATTTTCTTCTATATATTTGAACATCATCTAATTTTTAACACCTGTAAATGGAAGAATAGCAAGTGTTCGAAAATTTAATAACCAATCAATAGCAAGTATTTTTTCGTCATAAATTCTATTTCATTGAGAACGTAATGAATTGATCTACCTGCATGTCTTATCATCGACCTCCATATCGCATTTTAAACGTCTATACAAACTGAAGTACAAGCCAAGAAATGATCAATTAAGCAACTTGTACTGTATCCAATATGGACACAACCCGGATCCGTATAATCCTGTTTGAAAGCATCAGGTCAAGGTGCCACCCATTAGCCCATTTAGCCAACATGGTGGATCTCTATGCAATAAGAAGCCCAAATACCCAACCACGGCCCACGATCCAACTCACGTGTATACATATATCAGTTCCATTGGATACATAGAGAGAGAAAGAGAGCAAGAAGAAAGATGATATACAGAAAATGGAGTCTGCTGACGGGCCCAGCTGCCATTCTTACTGGAATCGTCGGAGCAATCGTTGTGGTCGATCTCCTCTTCATCGAAAACGTAGGCCTTGTAATTTTATTTCCCCTTATTTTCCCAATTTATCATTATCTGTTTCTTTCTGTTTAGATTATGTTCGAATCGGCAAAGAATCGTTGAATAATTTTTAGATTAATAGCAGAGAACTATCTATTTCATGGAGATTCGTATTAATAAGCATATTGTTTGATTGGGTGAAGACTAAAATCAATCTGTTTATCTTTTTCTTATATGGATCCATCTAGAAAATACAATTTTGGTTTCGTTTTCTTTGCCAGATTCAGTTTTTAATTTTCCATGTATTACGCAATTTGTTTAGGAGGGGTCAACGTTCTTTAAACTTTTTTGTTGATGAAATTAAATGGGTCCTTATTAAAATGCCATCAATTGAGAAATCCATTCTAAACGATGAAATTAACATTAAGCTAAAAGGGACTGATAATGAGTAAAGTGCAGCTTGTTAAGAGTAGTGCATAGTGAAGTTCGAAGGTACAAATTTTCATGCCAAAGTATTATCTTCGTTAACTGAGATGGATCATTTTACGTGGAGTGTCCGTTCATAAGAGTGCATGAGTGATAAAATTTTGAAATAGCAAGTCAAAAGAGGGTAGACCATAGTTAACATGGTGTGTGATAGTTGCTAAGGAGGGCCCAATTTGCTTTAGATCTGTCGGAAGATCTAGCAACGAATTGAGTGGAATAGCAAAGAAAAAGTTTAGTTTTTTGTTGTTGTTACTTTTTTCCCTTGATGTTTTCAGGTGTTTAGCAGCGTTGGGTTTATTGCTTCAGTTTGATTATGTGGCGTGATTATCAACTAGATATATGATCTCATTTTTGCCCGTTTTGTTATAGTTGAAATATCTACTGTCAAAGTGCTCTCCCCGTGTTTCTTAATATTGAAACTATAACCCTTTGTTCATGTTTTAAAAGAAATTGATTAGGTAGTTAAATTCTGTTATCATAGGGTTGTATGAATGTGTATAAATATTTCTATGACCAAAAGAGTGAAAAAGATTTTTCTCAAGGATCCTTTTCGTTCTAATGACTTAGACTTGGTGGGTTTTCCATTTCAATTGATTACTCTTAAGTTTTTCAATCTTTGTTGGTGATATGTTCAACTAGAAAGAATGAAAGGTTAGTTTGGAAAAAGAGATTCTTGTTTAATTGGTCAAAGGTGTAACACTGGCAGTTGGCACTTAGGCATACAAGGAATTGGGAAAAGATATTGGAATTCTAACCATCTAATTTCAGTTCATTTTTACTCTTTATCGAACTGCTCACTTGATCAGCAAGAGGTCCAGATCAGTTCCCCCCTTAAATTTTGTTGGCTCCGAGAAAGTTTATGGGAAGTTATAAGAAGTCATATTTTGGTTTTGGAAGAATGAAGCCTGTGCACACATGCAAAAGAGTAACGAGATAATTCTTGAACATCCACTCAATAATTTATCCCCTAAGAAGTAATTTACAGGCTAATTCAGGATCAGGAGCTTTTGTGAGGATCGATGGAAAACTACTATTTTTCAAAATTTTGTTTTCTTAGTACTCAAAGTGACTATTATTTTGTGTTTTAAAAAGCATCTTCAGGGAAGGTTTAGCTGCTACATCTTGCTGTCCAATCTAATTGAAGTTAGGGACTGCTTTTCATGTTAACACTTATCTTGTTAATTAACAAGGGTGTGCATCCTCCTCTTGGGGAAATAAAGAAGAGTTGATCCAAAAATTAGCGATATTAGTCTCAACACTAACCTGGTTTTTGTTACACTGACTGGAGACATTGTGTTATTGTGTTACTTTCTTTATCTTATATTTTCATATTTTGGTCCTGCAGGATCGATTCCGCAAGACAGAGCCAAAGAAGCAAGAGACAGCACCTTCAACCAAGTAGGAGAGAAATATTGAATTTTAGATGTGATCTAAAGCTTGTTTGAGGTTTTTGCATGGGAATTGATTGTTGCAGTTTGTGATTTTAGTTGTTGCTAAGGATAAAATTGTCTGGTAGAATAAATCGAAATTTCCAAACCCACTTGAGAATCGGTATTCGTTATTGTGATGTCATGTTGGCTTGCTTGGATATCTTATAACAACACGGCTTCGTGCCCTATGTGATTTCTATTACCTCTTCTCACGCTGTGTGACAATATATGATACGGGAATTGTTCACAGAGAGCATGCGGTGTCTTTTGTTGAACTCGGTTTTTTCTTTACAGAGGCCAGAGGGCTAGGCCGGCCTTTCACGTGCTAGCCATGGGTAGCCCGAGATACTTAAATCTCTAGAGCATCCATACAACACATACACGATCAACCATAAAAGAAAGCCTCGTAGTGTAGACAACATGATTCAAGTTGAAAAGTGAAAACCAAATAACCCGCACAGATCTGTGTAAAATTCAAAAAGTTAACAGACATGAGGACAATCTTATGATATGGTTTATACAGGATTGAGGTTCTTGCTGTCCAGAGACAGAGACAACCATATCGAACTTTTCTTCACATTAAGAAAGTGCTAAATACAACAAATCCTAGATATAATTACAAATCAATCAGTGGTACACCAGTGGTAACTGGTAAGTGACAAATCAGAGACATTCCTGTATTTTTCTTACCAGAGCGAACTATTCAGACAGTGAGTTGATGAATCGAGGAAAAGCGGTGCGAGACAACCAGTATCAAGCATCCGCTTTTGGAGCTCTCATGCCAAATCCACGCTTCGCCTTCTCCACGCTGTTCAAGATCTTTAGTTAGTAAAGATTTAATTTATGTTACATGTTGAATACGGTGTCTTTTCTTCGACCAAGTAAGATTCTTATCTATAAGTTCTTCAGGCAAAATGATGTCATGAAAACAAGAAACATCCTAGGACAAACATTAGAATGGCAAAAAAAGAAAAACCTTGCATTGCCCGTTGAGCTTTCATTTCTGTGTTGCTTATTTCAAATCTTAGCTTGCTGTACTAATTTCCAATTTTCAAGGATAAAAAAAGATTATTTATTTTAAGACTTTTTAAGCTTAGCCAAAGCTAGCGCTCCAAGTTAGACCAATGTCACATGGTAATCAGAATAACTTCATTAGGCAAAATCAAATTCTTTCAAATTTAGACAGAAACTCTAGTCGAAACATATTAAACACATATCAAAGAATCAAGACTTACGTTGGAGCAAGTTTGCCCAGACTTTCTAGCTCTTCACCAGTGTCCTCGTCTAGGATTCGACCGGATATCTCAATGATGTAAGATCTATCTCTATCCGTCGGGAGCCCTCTATTCCCGAGCAAATTCAAGTCTTTTTGATGAAGTTCTCTACCGTTCACAAAAACATTAGTGTTTCCACCAGAACAATTTTCGGGCATGGGATAGTTGAATTCCTCAATAAATGGCTGCAAGAAAATGAAATGATTTTGTTAAAATTATGGAAAGATCAAAGTTAGCATCATAAACCTACGGCTAAGTGTCGATACAGGAATTGGAAAATCTTACAGGAACTATGCCAAGACAAGAACCTCCCATTGCACCCCAGAATCCAGCTCTGAAGTCATACCTAGAAAATAAAAGTTAAAAAGAAAGGAGAAATACTAGCATTCTGAGATTAAATTAAAAAACTTGTATATGTAAGGCATGACTAATGTATATGTATACTTACCAATAATGTCCAGGATGGATCGGTCCGGCCAGCTTTTCGGCCCTTTGAATCAACCGATCTGGTATAAGATTCCCATTAACAGTAACGTTGGCTTTTCCCTGCTCGGCCAGTTGGTTGGATTCGTTTGAGTGCCTAGAACTCTCTGTCATAATGCCAGCAAAGTATGACTCCGCTACTCTATTACCTCTTAGTCGATCTCCTTCTCTACTTCCTTCACCTGACTCTAGAGAAGTTCCCGTATTAGAGTACTCATTGGTCAGAATATCAATCTCAGTAGCCGCTGATGTGCTTTTCATAGAATTCTGCTCTGCAGTACTCTTGCTGGGTATCACTTCATCTTGAATTGTGGATCCCTTGGGAGGTAGAGACCTGTTTCTCTTTGAGGCCGGCTCAGCAGAATCTGGATCTTTTCTTATAGCAAATATATTTTCATCTTCCTCTGCCGCAGAAGTACGAGAAGAAGTAGTGTGAGGGGTCTTCATCTCTGCAAACTTGCTTGAGCTTGCTTGGCCCGTTGACAAAGATCCTTGTTCTCTATCCATGGAGTGGAAATCATAACCAGAATTATCATAGTCATAGGATGAAAAGGTTGTGCTACCTTGGTTCAAATGTCCATGGACATATGAATTTCCTGGTTTAGAGGCATCATGGCTATCATCAACCTCTGCAAGAGTATTCTCCTCTTCTACATTAATGAAAACAGCTAGTTTCTTGTTGGCAACTGCAAAAGAGATTATTGTAGAACATGCCCCACACCTAATTCTGTTCTTGTTTCTATCTTCAGACATTACTTTCTTAGGAAATTGCAGCAACTCAAAACAGTTCTCGCATGTAAAAAATGGAGCACCCCCTGCTATCGGGCGGCAAATTCGTCCACTGCTCACTGGACTCAATCTGGGAGGTCGGGAATGAATTAAACCATCGACTTCAGAGTTCAGATCACTAGGCAATCTTATTTGAGATTCAGGATTCTGAGATTTTAAGGGAGGAGGAATGGTAGTTCTAGAATCATATTCTTGGGGACCAAATGAACTCGGGTTTTTATAATGATTAAACACCACATCATCCGGAACATCGGATAACCGTTTATTGCTGAAGGCAGTTGGTGGGACCAAAAGAGAAACTTGTCTTTTGTTGTGGCAATGGAAACAAGAACAAGATGGATGGTGATGACTAACACTAAAAGGGTACGTTTCCATTCGATCCATGTATTCCACAGAAAAATAAGCATGAGATGGAGGCCGTCGAAATGGAGCAGGAGGTTGACGTGGATCTCGGCCAAGCATTTGAGACCCTATCGGATCCACAAGTGGAGCGTATCTCGGAGGATAAAAGCCATGCCCACCCTTTTCTTGCCGATGCATAGATGGCTCAGCATAGTGATTTAGATGAGGCGGTCTTCCAAATTGTTTATCAGAAGAACTATCAGAATACCATTTCTCGGAACCATCATAAGGATCCTGACGAATTGTCCTTCTAACAAGAGGAACCATTCCACCGGGTCGACTTAGCTGATTTTTCAACTCATCCAATGTCCTCAAAAGCTCAGCTCGATCTTCTCCATCATAATCGACCTTGTTAAACCCATACACGTCATTCCTATTCTTCATTCGACCTTCATAATCATAATTGGACCTTGTCCGGTCACCTGATGATCCCTCCTCCGAGTATATTGATGCTGCATATCTCGTACCTTCAACATCCATTCTCCGACCCCTCCAAAACTCCTTCAGCTGACTTCTCTCCCCATTTCTCGGGTCCAACATACGCTCTGACCCTTGTAATCCACTTTCATCCTCATTATACATCTCCATCCCTAAAGATCTACCAGAATTACAATTTTCAAAACCAGCACAAGGTACCTGATGAATTGTCCTGCGATCAAGAGGAACCTTTTCTTTAGCCTTGTCAATCAGTTCAGCTGACCTGCTAAAGTGATCGTTCAACCCATCCAACTTCCTCAAAAGATGGGCTTGATCTTCTCCAACATAATCGACCTTGTCAAACCTGTCCATGCCATTCTTATTCCTCACCAGATCTTCATAATCATAATTGAAACTTGACTTGTTATCTGAAGGACCATCTTCTGAGTTTGTAGAAGATGCATATCTCATATCTTCTATATCCATTCTCCGAGCTCTTCGAAACCCCTCCATCCGACTTCTCTCCCCATTTCTCCGATCCATCGTACCATCTGACCTTTGCAACCGACTTTCATCCTCACGATATATCTCCATTCCCAAAGAGCTATCAGGATACCAATTCTCAGAACCAACATAAGAACCTCGACGTAGTGCCCCTTGATCAAGATCAACCATTTCAGCAGACTTGCTAACCCGACCCTTCAACTCGTCCAACTTCCTCAAAAGCACAGCTCGATCTACTCCAGCACAATTAACCTCATTAAACTCATCCATTGCATTCTTATTATTCGCTTGACCCTCATAAGCGTAAACAGACCTCGACCAGTTATTTGAAGGACCCTCGTTTGAGTACATTGAAGCCGCATATCTCGTACCTTCAACATCCATTCTTAGACCCCTCGAGAACCTCTCCATCTGACTTCTGTCGCCATATCTCCAATCCATCATATGCTCTGACCCTTGCAACCCATTTTCATCCTCATTATACAACTTTAACTCCTCAAAATCTTCTGAAATACGTAAATTGTCTGGTTTTTCCACTACTGGTGAATCAACAGCCCCCCTTTTGCCTTTATCCATCAAATTCGTACCATAATTGTCAGTCCTCCTCTCACCTCTCCTTGAAGAACTAATATTTGACCTCAAATCACTCTCAGAACCATCACTCAAATCCATTATTCTCTTCTCTGAAATATTTGCTTGCTCACATTTTCCTGAAAATTTCTCTAAACTACCACCTACCATTTCTTTTTCAGACTTTTTTGATAATTTGTCCAAGTCAACACGTTCATTCTGGGATGTAAAGTCAACCGTTGAAAACCCAAAAAAAAATAAAAAATAAAAATAATTAGGTCCGTCTTCTGATAACGTGTCCGAAATATACCCTTTCAAAATCAAAGAAAAACGAAAAAGGAAAAAAAAATTCTTCCACAATTTACATATTATAGCATTATTTAAGATTTAACAAGAACTGGGATGCCAAAAAAAAACAAATGAATTGAGCAAATATTTCACAAAGCACACAACTTGATGATAGAAAAGCCCAAAATTGCAGCAACCTTTTCCTTTTTCTTCGTGAAATTCATAGAGCTCAGAGAGAGAGATGAGATAAATATAATTTGACAGAAATGTACCTCGCAGCACAGCACCACAACCTCCACACTGGTAAACAGAATAATCAGCGACTTCTGAAAGTAAATTCTGACACTTTTGGCAACGAACTAAACGAACTTTTCCAGATTCATACATTGTTTTTCACGAGTTTCAGACCGTATTGGAAAAGCCCAGAAACATCTTGAGTATTTTATGTACATCTTCTGTATGTATGCACTTGTATGCAAAAATTTTGGTGCCGAAAAGGGGTTGAAAAAGTTTCAACTCTCAACAGAAGATTCTACGGAGCTGCTACAGAATCTGAGAAAAAGAAGAAACAGAAAAGAAAAAAAAAAATACTCTCTCTCTCTCTCTAACGTTCCTCAAACATTTGCAGATTTTTCCACGTTGAAAAATGGACGAGTTTCCGACATGTACTTTTGTTTCTTTGGCAATTTTCTGTGAACACAGAATTATTCAAGAAAAAATGCCTGAAAATATACGCGTAAAATTAGGAAGAATTGTCAAAGGAGTCGACTCAAAAAACGTACCAGCTAAAATTGTTGTTGTTTATGGAATATTTTGTACATCAGATTTATAAAATAAATTAAAAAATTCATAAATCTAATGTTTTGTTACATTACGTTCACTTCGATTTACCTATATGCTTATTTATATTATCCAATAATTTTATCACATGGAATTTTACAATGACAAAATTTGTTTCTAGTTAATTGTGATAATCATCAATTGATCGTAGTAAACAATGAAATAAAATAAAATAATAGTTGTAGTTGTTACAAGTTAAAGTTACAACCTCGACGGTAGTAAAACATGAACAGGGTTTAATTTGGCGCCGGCAGGTCATTTTCTTTAAAATAAAAAAAATATTTATTGTTTTCATCTTACAATCAAGCATGATATACAAACATGGTCGATTATAGGTTAAAAAACAAGGGGGCACTTATCGACGCGTGATCGATAGTTTGAAAAAAAAAAAACTCAATATCCAATCATTATCTGTCACACCACCCTATTATCTATTTCCTTGTTCTTGAACTTGTTGGAATAGCGTTATTCTCTTATAATGGGAAGAAGTAGTCTTCTTAACCTTGTAGTTAAATAGTAAACAAATTTTTCTCAATTTTAGTGGAAACTCAAAATCAATTTTCTCTTGAAGTAACAAAATAATTAGCATATTGCCTCCTTGGGTAAAGACATGAACTTCTTCAAAAATAAACCATTATCAAAGTGGAAATTACATGTAACTAGAATTTTAAAGTTGTCATTTCAAAATTCAAATTTACAAATTATTATTTCAAAATCAGATGATAATTAAAATTTTAAAATTTTAATAATTGTATAACAAATTTAAATATACATGTTCATTCTGTGTAACAATATACATCAAAACCCTAATTATTTCATCGTCTCTTTTCTCACTCCCACCTTCTCTCTAACCATCTGTCGTCGCCATCGCCCCGTTGGCACCACCCTTCGCATGGCTTGAAGTGGAACCTCTACGACAGTTTTGTCGTTGCTCTTCCTCTCCTCTCATCTCCTCTCCTCTCTCCCCTTCTCCATTTTCTATTTGGTGCAAAGCAGCCCCACACTAGTGTCGCGTGGAACGGCCTGTAACCGTTGCTCAACTGCTTCGATGTGGTTTCTTCTTGTAGTGATTTTGCGGTGTTGTGCATTGGTTTTTGTGGTGATTTTTCGACATGTTTTGCTGCGGTTTTTGAGGTGTTGGTGGTGCATGCGGTGATAGTGTGCTAAGGTGGTGGTGGCAGCAAGTTCGTGGATTTTTTGTTTTAGTGGGATGGGGTGAGGCGTAAATGGAGATAGAGGAGATGGTGGTAGATCTGTGGTGAGGTGTAGATTGCGCCTCTAGTGGCTCGGATGGCAGCTGTAGCAAAGTAGATTGCGGTGGTGGTGATGATATTTTTTTATCTTTTTTTATTGATGTTGGTGGTGCTGTTGACTATGGTATTTAAGACGATGGTTTTGTTGTCGAGAGGTGGTGGTAGTGATTCTAGTGACGGTGGTTTTAGCTAATGGCAATTGTGAGATGGTGATCACAAGCGTTGGTGATGGTCACAGATGATTTAGTTGATTGTGACCAATAAATTGATTGCTATGTGATCAATAAACAATATGTGACCAATGAAATGATAATTGAGACCAATAAATATTGTGTAGCTTAAAAAATTGTTAATTCATGACCATTAATTTGATAAATTGTGACACAAATATAAATTGTTGTCAATTAATTAAATTTTTGTGACAATGAAATAAGTTGTAACTTATAAAATTTGTTATTTATGACCGTGAAGTAATTTGTGATCTATAAAAAATTTTATTGTGATCAAATTGTATAAAAAAATTTATTTATAAAATATAATTTTAATTAATTATTTTAGAAAATAAATATCTAATTTTTGAAATTTTAAACATTTTATCTTAATTTTGAAATGAGCTATATTGAAACTCTTATTTTTGAATTTTTCCCTTAACAAAATTGCTCTGGTCCAAGAACAATATGAGATATGACGTTTAACAGATTCCACTATTTGGTAGAAATTAGAATTTAGATTTTAATTTAAATCAAAGTCAACAATTAATTTTAACAACATTTTATGAGATTCATAACTTTTTAATCACACATTTTATTATTTTTTATCAAAATTTACTAAAAATCTTATTTTAATGTCCACCTAAGCAGATGCTTAAAGTCAATAGAGTGGTAATTTTCTCTACCTACCTACCCTTTTTTTTTTTTTTTAATTCGAATTACTAGTGGATATTTTTGAATGTTTCTAATTACTAATTTATAGTTTATAATCACCTTTTTTTTAACAATATACTACAACCTATTTCATTTAATTTACAATATTGTGACCTTTTTTCCCTAATTTTCAAGGATCTAATATAGTATTTTCATAACTTATGCAAGTAATTCATTCTAATTCGAAAATCCTTATTTATTAAAAGTACCATCTCTTGTTTCTAAATTGACTTACTTGTGTATGTTACTTTGCATTATTACCATTGGTGGCGATCTAAGCATGAAACCAAATGTTAACATGATTTGTTAACCTAAATTGTTAATTTTTGCTGTGTTATGTCTACCTTCAAATTGGCGTAGCTCATAATTAATTATTTTTTTAAAAAAGTAGAATCCGCAAATTGTTAGTCAGTATCGATAATTGATTTCTTCGAATTTAAATTCTAAATCTTCCCTAGAAATAAGCACGATAATACAAAATCAAGGGAATCTATGTAATTTTAAGTTTCTTTTTGAAAAAAGAAAAAGATTTAAAGGTTGTATTTAAAGAAGG